ATTACTTTGGTAATCCTTAGTAGTAGATAGCTTCTTGAATCTAATTGTATAAATCTAAGGCAAGAAGACCTGTTGTCCCCATTTTTATTCCTAATTATTGCAAAAGGCTTAAATGGGTTGATTTCAGCAGCAAGTCAGAAGGGATTGTTGGAAGGCATGGAGGTCAATCCAAAGGTTTCAAAGTCACACATCTACAATATGTAGATGACACAATTCTGTTTGGGAAAGCTACTGAGGGAAATATCTAGGCAATGAAAGGTATTTTGAGATCATTTGAACTAGTTTCGGGTTTAAAGATCAATTTTAATAAAAGCCAATTGATTGGTGTTTGCGTAGAGGGGGATTGGCTAGAAAAAATGCCATGGGTGTTATGTTGCAAAAAGGGCTCATTTCCCTTTAAGTACTTAGGAATTCCCATTAGAGGATGCTGCAGGAAGCTAACCTTCTGGAAACCATTGGTGGGTATTTTTAATAAAAAATTATCAACATGGAAAGGTCGATACTAATCGCTTGGCGGTAGAATCACCCTCATTAACTCTGTGCTATCTAGCCTTCCTTCGTTTTGGATGTCGCTGTACTTGATTCCAAAAGGTACAATCCTCTCACTCGATAAAACTCGTAGAAGGTTCTTGTGGGGTGGGATTGAGGGGGGTAGAAAAATTAATTGGGTTAGTTGGGGAAATGTGTGTAAGTACAAGGCGAGAGAAGGTTTGGGTGTAAAAGATCTCAGGAAGTTCAATATGGCTTTGTTTGGCAAGTGGTGGGGGAGACTAGTGTTTGAGGATAGAGGGTTATGGAAAAAAGTTATTTACGAGAAGTACGGAAGGGAAGGGGAACTAAGTTATAATTGGTTGAAGGAGGGCATTAATTTCGGCTCTAGTTGGTGGAGGGACTTATGTAGGTTGAATGTAATAGATGAGGAAAAAAGGGGATGGTTAGCCGAGGGGTTGAAATTCAAGGTTGGGGAAGGAGTGGGAGTTAAATTTTGGTGTGACAACTGGTGTGGGAGGAGGAGTCTTGTTAACCAATTCCTGAGACTTCATCTAATATTTGCAGGAAAGGATAACAAGATCTCTCAAATGGGGAAGTGGACTAATGACACCTAGAATTGGAATCTACAATGGAGAAGGAGCCTTTACAACTAGGAAAAACAACAAGAAACAGAGCTGCAGAAGCAAATCCAAGAAGTCACAATTAAAAGAGGCAAACTTGATTTATCGGAATGGATTCACAACAAGGATGGAAGCTATTCAACAAAATCAACATATAAGGCACTCACAATGGATAATAGAATGGAACAGCAAGGAACTACACTTCAAAAAGTATGGAACCCACTCATCCCCAACAAAATCTCAGCTTTCACATGGCAACTATTGCAAGATAAACTTCCATCAAAGTTGAATCTCTTTAAAAGGGGAGTGCTAAAGGATCTTGAGCAGTGTAGGTCTGCTCTTTGCGGAATGGGGATAGAGGACACAAGCCATCTTTTCATACACTGTAACTTAGCTTGAGCTTTGTGGCCTAATTGTTTTAAGTGGAGGGGTATAAGTACAGTGCTTGACAAAGATTGTTGGAAAGTGTTTGAACATCATCCTGATTTATTCAAAATGACAAGGGAGAAGGTGGACTAGGAAAGCATGTGGTTCACTGTGATTTGGACAATCTAGTTAGCCAGGAATGAAAAGATATTTGGTGGGAAGGAGGCTGATAAGGGGAGGCTATTGGAATTAGTTCAGCTAAGGGCATTCAACTGGATTAAATGTAAAAGGGGAGGCTATTTCTTCTCCTTATCAGATTGGATCCATAACCCAACGGGATGTCTAAAATTTAACTGTGGTAGAAAGAGGAAGGCTGCGAGACATGTAACTGCCACATAGAACCAACCTACTGAAAGTAAATGTAATTTTGGGTGGGGCCAAGTTTTGAACTAAACTTGATCCCTTGTAACGAGTTTGGGGTACTCCTTGTACTCCCTAAATAAATAATATAATTTCTTTGCAGTTCAAAAAAAAAAATTGTATAAATCTATATACAAGTGATATCATTTATTGCTCTTTAGTATTTAGAGATTATTAATGGATTATAAAAGGTGTGACAAAATTTAAAAAGTTGTTATTTTAAAAGTAAATTCTTCAATCA